CATCCCTACTGGCGGCTATAACCTCTGTGCTGGTAGAATCGTGGTCAAGAGCTGTCGAGGATGCAAATCACACCTTTATCACTGTCACGAACGCAGCCCCATCACCACCAACATATAAGTGCTAATCCCAGTAAGCATATGTTTGAGGGCCAGAGCACAACAGGCCTTCTCTTGGTTTCCGCCCACTCAGCTCTATTCGCGGGACTGTGGCAGTTTCTACTCAGCTTGCACCATGAAGACTAGGATACTGTAGTGCACATAAGCGCAATTCTTACTGGCGGCGATAATCTCCGTATTGTGTGTCTGGGTAGCTGCCGAGGATGTAAATCAGACGCAGAAGAAGATGCGACCACTGGAACAAGAGTTTTAATTTCCTGACGTTTCGGATTTTGTTGAGAATCCATAATCATAGGTACGATAGTCTCAGTCCTGCGCAGATGACTCAGACTATCCTCGCATCACCTATGATCAAGGATTTTCGACGGAATCCGAAGCGTCAGGAAAATAAAACTCACGTTCCAGTGGTCGCATCTTCTTCTGCGTCTGAACTGCTTCCTGGAACTCGCATATTCTCCTCTATTGGAAAATAACATTCTTATCACTGCGTTGACCACACCACCATCGGTGGCACTACGACAAATGCCACGCAATCGCTACCAACCAACCAACAGAAAAGATAAAGAGAGCACTGACCTGGATAGCCGGCACACAGTGATTCAATCGACGTCTCCATCTTCTTCTCGCTGATGCGTTCGTACTTCTGTCGCTTGGTGCCCGCTTTAAGACCCTGCCAGGGAAGACTGCCGCGGAGGAAGTACATCAGCACGTAACCCAGGGACTCCATATCATCGCGTCTGGATTGCTCTGCAGAAGGGAGAAAGGGACGTTAAAGAAAGTTGCACAAAAAATTCGGCAAAGGTAGTTTAAGTAGTGGACCTTATAAACTCCAACCCCCAGCCCTATGTCATAGGGGATCGGTGGTAAAAGGGGTTTAGCGGGTATGGAAATAGGATGGGCAGCGAAGGCAGTGTCTATCCTATTGCACCACCCATCCACACAACACCCTATTACCACCACTTTCGTTAGACAGAATTCTGAAGTCAGGTCCACTACTTAAACTACTTTTGCCCAAAGGTATTTTGAGGATGAACTTTAGGGAAGTAGGTCCACTACTTAAACTTTTTTGTCTAGAGGATGGACTTTAGCGAAGAAACGTGAAAGAGAAAAATGGTGTGACGCAGACCAGGTAGTTGATATCATCAGTATGGGCCAAATAGAAGGAGTACAGTGTCACAGAGAGCAGCGACGACGCCACTCGCAGATGAGACTGTCTAAACAACTGCCGTTTTGGTTGACAAGGTCTTCCGATGACAATGCCAAAACTCAGCTTTTGATGCATAACCTGTACAGTCAAATATGGAGACACAAGAATAGAGGAATAACTAGGAAAACTAAAATTCTTTTTAGGGACACCAGTAACCCAGTCACAACCTACAACCGGGAGACAGGCCGTGAAGTGAACTATGCAGGCACGTCACTCCGGCCGTCGA